TGTTGTCGTGACAACCTACAGATGTCAACCTGACCAGACTGACAAATCTCAACACAACCTACAGATGTCAACCTGACCAGACTGACAAATCTCAACACAACCTACAGATGTCAACCTGACCAGACTGACAAATCTTAACACAACCTACAGATGTCAACCTTACACACAGACAAATCTCAACACAACCTACAGATGTTAACCTTACACACAGACAAATCTTAACACAACCTACAGATGTCAACCTTACACACAGACAAATCTCAACACCACCTACAGATGTTAACCTCACACACAGACAAATCTCAACACAACCCACAGATGTTAACCTTACACACAGACAAATCTTAACACCACCTACAGATGTTAACCTTACACACAGACAAATCTTAACACCACCTACAGATGTTAACCTTACACACAGACAAATCTTAACACCACCTACAGATGTCAACCTTACACACAGACAAATCTCGACACAACCCACAGATGTCAACCGGAAACACAGAAAAATCTCAACACAACCCACAGATGTCAACCGGACACACAGAAAAATCTTAACACAACCTACAGATGTCAACCGGACACACAGAAAAATCTTAACACAACCTACAGATGTCAACCGGACACACAGACAAATCTTTACACAACCTAGCGATATCACCCTACTCAGATGGACAAATCTTAACATAACCTACAGATGTCAACCGGACACACAGACAAATCTTAACACAACCTGGCGATATCTCCCTACTCACATAACACAAGGGAACACATTGCTAGATTCACATCACTGTAACCATGTCACGGCAAGAGAAATACTTGTTCAGGAACTTGTCTGATGTTTGTAAATACTCTTATAATGATATTTATTTAATTAGCGTTTGACCAAAAAATTATTAGTTATCCCACCTGATGAAACCTGATTTTGAAATATTGATGTTTTTGAACACAGGTGAGCTACAGTACTTTGCCCTAATTAAAAGCTCACGTTTAGAACTTGTCCAAATAAGAGTGTTAGATTTGGCACAACACGGTTGCCACACAACCACACTGCATTTAATGTATGGTGCCACCTTCACTCACAGTCTCACACATGTATAATTGTTGAAGTGTGGGCGAGGTGGCAGAAACCAGTTTACACAAACTGCCACTGTTGGGGCAGGTTTTGTTGTAGTATCAAAAATGTTTTCTTGATCCTGAAGGATGCAGCAGCCTGTTTGAACATCATTGATACACTGACACTAGGGCTGGCTATTGATACAGATCATAGAGATCGATAATCATTAACTAAATATCGATCAATTATTGATCCGGAGTAGAATAGGTGTGGGTACTGGGGCCCTTGTATGTCCTGAAATCTGTCGACCGGTGAAGATCCGGAGTAGAATAGGTCTGGGTGCTGGGGCCCTTGTATGTCCGGAAATCTGTCGACCGGTGAAGATCCGGAGTAGAATAGGTCTGGGTGCTGGGGCCCTTGTCTGTCCTGAAATCTGTCAACCTGTGAAGATCCGGAGTAGAATAGGTGTGGGTACTGGGGCCCTTGTCTGTCCTGAAATCTGTCAACCTGTGAAGATCCGGAGTAGAATAGGTGTGGGTACTGGGGCCCTTGTCTGTCCTGAAATCTGTCAACCTGTGAAGATCCGGAGTAGAATAGGTCTGGGTGCTGGGGCCCTTGTTTGTCCTAATACCCTCACAATGGCACAATCTGGGTTCTGGGCACCTAGTCGGGTCTAAAATCCCCACAATTACAAAAGCATGGTTCTGGGGTCCTTGTCAATCCGAAAATCCTTACAATGGCACTGTCCTTGTGAAGGTTTGAGGTCACCAGTACCGGTGACCTCAAACCTTCACAAGGACAGGCATACCAGGGACCTGGAGACCTGGGGACCTGCCACATGGCTGCCCACTACCGAGTTGACACAAGGCTGGTCAGCTCCAGCCCTAACTCTCAGATCAACAAACTTCTCACCTTTAGTTCTTGGCTGCTGTGTGAGCATCTCCATGGCATTCAAAACATGTGCTCACAAAGTGATAGACTAACACTTAGTCAATGAAAACATGTCTTTAAAATATATATGAATTTTTTTTAAAGAACCTTTCCTCTTCTGCTGTTTTCATAAACTAGACTTGCCTAGGATTTTAGGGAAAAAAAATACCTAAAAAATATAAATTCCACAGTCGTGGGGCAGGACTTACATAGTCATAGCAGTGGTCACCAGCTCATTAATACATGGACATTATTTTTCATTGTGGCCTGTCTGCTGCCCTATATGCTATATAATACCCAACAGTTGCTAGGGGTACTGGAATTGTTGGTCCAGTGAACAAAATATCATGCAATCAGATACTTTTTTTTAAATTATCTTGAAATGAAGCCGAACATGATTCAGTTCCGCTACAAAATCAGATACTATTTGTTTGACAACACTTCCAAACAATCGGTCTCGTTCAGCTCCAAACTAGGTATTCAGAATATCCTTATCAAGAGTTGAGTAGCATATTACAAATCCATTTAAACTACCTATTTATAAATTGTTATATCAATCACTGATGGATTTCCTCATGTTATCTTTCAAAATGGTAGCATTGATCACTGAGAAATGTTTGCAATGACAGTGTAACCAAACTAAGTAGCATAAACAAGAAAAAAATACAATTAAATTATGTTCAGTAAATAATCACAACAGGAACTTAAGCCATCCTAAAAGGGAACAATTACTTTTTCACATAAAAAAGGAGTGATAAAGTGGCGTCTGCACACATCTCAGTGTTCAATATTTGCGCGAGTCCCCAGAATGCGAGATGTGTGTAGAGTGGTCGGTGCAGTGGGTACAACCAGTGTCTCCGCTAAACACGGACACACACACTACCTGAGAATACCAAACAATGTCCTCACACAAAGCAGGCAAATTTGGCACGTTTTTGTCTTCACCAGCAAAAATGCTCGTAATGCACAAAAGAAAGGTGATAGTGCACACACAGACTGTTAACTGTCACTCAATGAGGGGGCAGCTGTAGAGGGGCGTGTGAAGGGGGGGCGGGGGATGCGTATACTGTAGACCATCATTTCATGAGGGGTGAGCTGTACAGGGGCGTGTCGAGGGGTGGGGTGGGGTGGGGGTGATGGCTGTAAACTGTACACCATTATTCCATGAGGGGTCAGGTTAGAGGGGCGTGTCGAGGGGTGGGGTGGTGGTGAGGCTGTAAACTATAAACTATTATTCCATGAGGGGTCAGGTTACAGGGGCGTGTCAAGGGGTGGGGTGGGGGTGAGGCTGTAAACTATAAACCATCATTTCATGAGGGGTCAGCTGTACAGGGGCGTGTCGAGGAGCTGGGATGGGTATGGCGTTTGGGGGTAGACTCACCTACAGATGTCACCTTACCAGACCTACTTGCATATGTGTTACAATGTGTTCAGGGTGGGGGAAAGCGTGCCACACTTACTGCAATATGTATGTGTTTGAGAAGTGGTGAAGGGAGGGGAGATACTGTGAAACATTTAATGTACACAAAGTTAAAACACTCAGTGCCCAGGGTAACCAACCAATACACAAAATAACGAAAAGTAAAAGGTTTTTCTTTGGCCCCTTGAAATTTGACATTAACAGATGCCACTGTGTATTAATATTCCTGTTTGTGAAACTTCTTAACACTTAGAACCATGTATGCTTGAAAGGATATGTTGTCTCTTTCATAAAATGTATCTGTGCCACGGAACCTTAGAGCTTCCGTCTGTGTAGCTCTGCCGCCTGTATAATACCTTTCTTGAGGCTTGGCACATGTAATTGGATATTTAATACTGAACAAACAATAGCAAGTGAAGTCATTGCATCCACAATGACCCTCTTTATGCACCACAGGCTGGGAGTTATTCATTGCTGCCATCAATGAGAACACCACCTTTATGAGACATCAAAACTGTGGTTAACTATGCTTCCTACAACATGTGAAATCAGCCTCCAGTCAGGCAGGTGTTTTGAAATCTGTAGTATAACCTGTAAAGTGAGGTCTATACTGGCGTACTTAATCTGTAAACCCTCCCAAGTGAGGTGTTAGGTGTCCTTACAAGAGGTACTCCATCTGTAGTAAACCCTCCAATGTGAGGTGTTAGGTGTCCTTACAAGGGGTACTCCATCTGAAGTAAACCCTCCAATGTGAGGTGTTCAGGTGTCCTTAGAGGCACTCCATCTGAAGTAAACCCTCCAATGTGAGGTGTTCATGTGTCCCTAGAGGCACTCCATCTGAAGTAAACCCTCCAATGTGAGGTGTTCATGTGACCTTTCAAGAGGTACTCCATCTGTAGTAAACCCTCCAATGTGAGGTGTTAGGTGTCCTTACAAGAGGTACTCCATCTGTAGTAAACCCTCCAATGTGAGGTGTTCATGTGTCCTTTCAAGAGGTACTTAACTTGTAGTAAACCCTCAAATGTGAGGTGTTCATGTGTCCTTTCAAGAGGTACTTAACTTGTAGTAAACCCTCCAATGTGAGGTGTTCATGTGTCCTTTCAAGAGCTACTTAACTTGTAGTATACCCTCCCAAGTCAGATGCTCAGGTGTCCATACATACAGTCTACTGTCCAGTGGGGATCCAAGTGAGAAAAGGACATGAACTCTATTCCTTGTCCTAAGAGGCAACAAGATTGATTTGGAGTGGGACTTGGTTAATTGCATGTCATTGTACCCCAATGACATCGATCGCTGCTCATAACATCTGCCACTGGTTTGTCAGCCCAGACTTGAATATCAACAGGCTGCAATTATACAGCTGGACTACTGTTTCCTACAGGACAAATATATTGTCATTTTTGCTGAACCAAAATTGAAAGAAATAAAGAAAAAAAAGAAAGTGTCCTGCAGTTTTGTAAAGCACCTCCTGGGTTCTGTCGGTAGTTTGTGTCTTCATTGTGTGCCTGCGACAGTGTGCCCTCCACCTTGTCATTCATCTGTAGATGAGAGGACACAGTCTGTTGGCAGGTGCACAAAGGCAGGGGAAGGTCCCCGGGACAAAGGGCTGTCTGGGACAGAGCGACAACAGCATCGATAGGCCCTGTGGAAATAGCTGCTCCCTCTCTCACTACAAATTATGTAATATCTGAAGACAACTGAACATGCAAATCATCAATAGAAGAAACACTGGGGAGCCTCAAACAGCAGTTGTGTTGGGTATTCATATCACGGCTATGAGCCAATAAGATTGAAGAGGGTTTATCTGTTGAGGGTAAATCTCTCCTCAGTTTACACCTCACAGTGGCAGACTAAGCCTTGAGAAGGGACAGACAGGGCTTAGCCAGGAGATCGAAGGACGGGAGAGCCGAGATTGAGGCAGAGCTCGTCACAACAGTTGCGGCAGACAACGTGACGGACTACAAATTCTCTGTAAGCTGGCATGAGGGCTCTGTGACAAGCAATCTACATTCATGACTGGGACGGTGTCAACAAAGTACACCCTCATTCACACAACCACTTCTACAGGACATTTTTTAACACAGGAGCATGATTTTGTCCCCACTGAATGTGTTGGCTTTGTGTCGTCGGCCTGTGTGGCTGAATGATATGGAGACACTACTACCACATCACCGCAGTAGGACGACAAGCAAGGTGGTTTACGTGACATCTTACACTTCATGATGACAAGTACATCATCGGCCCGACTGTATAGAGTTGGATGTGTGAGGTAAGTCTACCAACAGTGCGTCCTCACAAGCTTTCACTCAACTAAACACATCACTCCTCAATATCGCTGTCAAACAATAAGCTGCTCCTTCCAAGCCTGCCCTATCCTGACCACATCTCAAAGCCGTTATAATGTAATATCAATACGTTTAAAAGTCTGCCTCTTCCCAGGGAGATAGTCCTGTAATCGTTTTCCTGACTGGTGAGCTCTTCGATAGACCTGTCAGATTTCATGCTGGTAATGCCCGATATTGTGATGTATACAAATTACAGCAGGCTTGGCACTATCAGGGGAGCAGCGAGCCTCTTAAAACCTACTGACATGTTATCAATGTCACCCTGGATGTCTCCTACATACTGATCATGGGAACATTTCATTAGAATTGAGCGGAATTCCCTTGGGAGTATTCCGACAACCGTGCTGTCATGTAACTCCTTCCTCAATCTGTCTTCAACGCTATCCTTTTCAGCTGCATATGGCGGGAGTTTATCTAGACCTGCTCCGGCCCGATATTTGATATTCAGCCAAGTCTGAAGTAAACATTTGTTAAAATTCCAAAAATTAAATTAAACAATTTCCTATTTATTTTAATGTAGTTATAATAAAAGCAACAAAACCCTTTCCATATTCATAAGAAATATCTGCTTAAAGCAGAGTCGATTGTTCGATTCTGACTATATCACGAGCAATGTTTGTTGATCACTGTCGTAATGTTATGGCTTTGTAGAGGTAACTGTGTATCACTGAAAACGCAACCAATCACCAGGAAGAGTCTCTCATGCCAATGATTACATTATTGCAATATTAAAATACCTCAGAATTTAGGAAAATAACCTAAAAAAATCACAATTTGAAGAAACGATTTCCCCCCAAATTTGTCTGCCAAGAGCAGTTAGTTTAAAATCCTTGATAACCCCTGTATGTTATATAAGAACAATCAGATAATCAGATAACCCCTGTATGTTATATAAGAACAATCAGATAATGGTGTGGTGTTGCAAGCAGGGGCATGCATGCACACTGCATGTTGAAGTTTCATACAGCCATTTTATTGTCAAGATTAAGTTTATGTATATTTATGCACCTCTAGTATGCTGGCAAAATTATTGCTTATTTTATCTTTTTTATTCTACATTTTGCAAATTCCAAATCTTTAATGAGATGAGACTAGGATATAAGAAGTCATGTGACTTAATGCACTATGTCGATAAGAGGTTCAAGTTGGTACATCTTACAGTTATCAGCAAATCAACATGCAAGAAAATTGGGAAAAAATATAATTTGCTTCATTTAAGGATGAAGAAATTTTCGGCTAAAATCAGGCTTTCAGACAGTTCTGTAGCTTACCTGCAAGGGCTGGATATCGGTCAAAATAAAATATATGTTGTAGCCAGAGGCAAGTGTTATAAAACCTAATGAGGGACGCATAAAACCCCATATAGCCCTCTTGATACTGCTACAATGAATTTATCTTGACAACATGTTTCAATCTGCCATTGTGAAAGAATTACAACAGAGTGAAAATTAACACAAAACACCTGTTCGATTGAGTTGAGGTTAACCTTTGCTGTGTCACATGACTTGCATTGACTCGTAAACAACATTCAGTTTTTGCTTTGCAGCGGGATATAAGGGATTTATCACCACAGAAATATATTTCCCTCACAGGCCGGTACATAGTGCTTTATTCTCTTAAAAAATATGGAATAACAGTGCTTGACCCCCTCAAAGCTACAAAACAGACAGGTAGGTTGGTCTGGTAGCTATCACCCTCACCCCATCCCGCCCACATCTCCACCCCCACCCATACCACCACCCATACCACCAACCATATCCACACCCACACCCTCAACCACCCACACCACCACCCATACACACATCCTATCCGGAGGCCAGGGGGAGATTATAGGAAAATCCCACCACTGTAACTATCCCTCTTCTAAACAAGGGCCTGGCTGACTTGGTGTGTCATCATACCCGAAGGTATGGCCTGTACAGCCTCAACTATCTTCAAGTTTGCCTTTCCTGCCTTATCATAATTGGCCAAATGCCATGCCATACATAAAATATCGCAGATGATGTGGAGCCCGATACACCAACTCATTTTGATAAATCAGTAAGTAAATACCTCCCCATGTTGAACACACCTATCTCCGTGTCAAAACCGTGCACATGATTTGCTTTGTTGGTGGTTCACTCAACTTGGGCAAGCCCTGGAGGTCAAGGGATCTGGTAATCTGCAGCACCGACTCCCAAGCTTGTGGATTAAGTCCACTTCAGTGCACACATTAATGTCCTGTCAGCATGGTGCTGCAGTAATCAGATCTCAACGCCATCCATTAAGCCGTCCAATAAAACAGTAGAGGCCTGAGTCCTGTCCTTCATGTGCTGCACTGCATGTGTTAAGTAAAGAAATATCTGCAAATTTACATCTGAAATGCCTGCAATTAAACGCCATGCTAATTTTTAGCAAAATATTAAATTTCGGTGGATGCGGAATGGACAAAAACCATGAAGTGGTTACATGGAAGTCTCTATGCGTAGACGAACCCTATCATTAGCTGAAATTTCTTAAATTTCCGAGAGGCAATTTTGTGTCCCTCCAGTCCCTTGATGAGAAACGAAATGTGTTTTCTGAAAGAATCTGACAGTCTTCAAAGAGCTACTCAAAGTTATGAGACAAGAGGCTTGAAAACCAGCATGATGAATTTCCCAGCTCCCTGACACAGTATTGACAAAATGCATATTAGTCACAGATTGGAGGCACACGTAGGGTGCCACCAACGCCCCAACGTTCTGCAGTCTGACTCTGTAAGAAGCTGTGCGTGTCTTCATTGTCCTCTTTGTGAGTCAGAGATCTGTGAATATACCCACTAGACCTCGGCGATGTGACTCACCTTCGCCTATCGTCTACTGGTCATCCCCGACCAAACGAGGGATCATCAGCGTTCGTCAGGGAGGGTAAAATAGAAGAAATCAGTATTGATTTATTGTAAGTCTGGCTTGCGATCACCTCCCTCGATCTTGATGCAGGAACCCAGGGTCTCGCACTGGGATCTGTTGCCACTAAATCCTTGTCATCTCTCACAATAAGGGTCTGTCATCTAACACAATAAGAGCCTGTTAAACACTGTGCTCAGGAAACTAATATAGAATATTTATCAGAACTGAGATGCTGAGCTTAGGATCAGATGTGGCTGTGAAACCTGGGGATTCCTCTGTTTGTTATGTCCCCAGCTTCTTGTGACTGTTGACAGTTATACACGCCCAGCACCACGACAGATGGATCTTGTGTAACACGGCTTCATGTGGACTTGATCTGCCTTTTGGAAACCTGCCTCAGGAGTGACTGGTTTTGTTGCTAGAATTCTGACTCATAATAATGGCAGATCCGTCTTTCTTTACCCGTACATAAATGTTTTTCTGTCGTCTCTCACACAGAACGTGAAACAAAAATAACCGTAAAGGACCAAGCAAGTCCACAATATGCTAAGTGTAAATTCCATGTCGACATTCTCTGGGTTCCCAGGTATTACATTCTAAAAGACAATTTAACCATAAAACTATTTTTCATAATATTTTCATTTCTGGGACTTAATGCTAGTCTAGTTTTCTAGTTGTGAGTGCAGTCAGGATCTATGATTCTTGTTGAAGTAATTGTCATTGAGAGGCAGATAAATAGCCCACGGCCAAGAAGCCAAAAATCTTCTTGCACTGATCGATTAGTCTTGATCTGAGCTGATATAAATTGCAGCCTCATCAACAAACTTACATAGCTCAGACAAGTTAGGGTCGATCCCACAAGAATACAACTCCCCTACTCAACCACTCTATTGTATTCAGGGATCCAGGTTCCCCACTTTCTTAAGTTTATAGTGGGCAACTGACATAAGCCAAACTGAAGAAACCATAGACACTACTCAAATAAATTTAAAGAACACCTGATTCTTTCATATTTCTGTAGTTAATCTGTCTCTGTCACGGCATGATAGATTGACTATAGTAATATGAAAGAATCTCATCACGGCATGATAGATTGACTAAAGTAATATGGAAGAATCTCATCACGGCAAGATAGATTGACTAAAGTAATATGGAAGAATCTCATCACGGCATGATAGATTGACTATAGTAATATGGAAGAATCTCATCACGGCATGATAGATTGACTAAAGTAATATGAAAGAATCTCATCACGGCATGATAGATTGACTAAAGTAATATGGAAGAATCTCATCACGGCATGATAGATTGACTAAAGTAATATGAAAGAATCTCATCACGGCATGATAGATTGACTAAAGTAATATGAAAGAATCTCATCACGGCATGATAGATTGACTATAGAAATATGGAAGAATCTCATCACGGCATGATAGATTGACTATAGTAATATGAAAGAATCTCATCACGGCATGATAGATTGACTATAGTAATATGGAAGAATCTCATCACGGCATGATAGATTGACTATAGTAATATGGAAGAATCTCATCACGGCAAGATAGATTGACTATAGTAATATGAAAGAATCTCATCACGACATGATAGATTGACTATAGTAATATGAAAGAATCTCATCGCGGCATGATAGATTGACTATAGTAATATTGAAGAATCTCATCGCGGCATGATAGATTGACTATAGAAATATGGAAGAATCTCATCACGGCATGATAGATTGACTATAGTAATATGGAAAAATCTCATCACGGCATGATAGATTGACTATAGAAATATGGAAGAATCTCATCACGGCAAGATAGACTGACTCAAGTAATATAGAAGAATCTCATCACGGCATGATAGACTGACTAAAGTAATATGAAAGAATCTCATCACGGCAAGATAGATTAACTATAGTAATATGAAAGAATCAGATGTTCTTTACTTTATTTCAAGTTGTTTATCAACCCCCCACCCTCACTAAACCAGAATATCCCCAAAATATTGACCCAAATCCACTACAACCCTTTTGAGATATCTTGGATATGTCCTCGGTCTATGCTCAAAAAAAGCTTGGATCATCTGCAAAAGGTCAAAATGTTTAGAGATTCAAAATTGTCACAGATCTTTGTAAATTAGAATCCTTTATGCTTCCAGATCCTGGCGGTACAGTTTCTAAGACGACTATCCTTCACCAAGTTCATCAACATGCCAAAAGCATTGAGACCAATCCTGAACCATAGGGAATCCTGCTAGAAGAGCTCCTCCAGATCTACATCGATGGTAACACCCTAGTATCCATGCTGCGTCATCAGTTACAGCCATGCCTCCACTACTCCCATCACCACCGTCGCAGATGTTGCAGTCTCCAAAGAGGAAGGTGTTTGCAGGCACTGGGTGACATGTTTTTCTGACTCCCAGGCGTAAGATGGAATGTTTACAATGATGGGCTTGTGTGCAAAGGAGCCAAGTCTCGCTTGCTGAAAGTGCGATTGTCGACAACACATCAAACACAGAAAGGTACACACAATTTGAAAAGGGTGGCTCGTCAACTCCCTGCCTGCACAAAGGCAATTGACTCAAGAGTAGTGACTGGTCGCTCCTCCAAGTCAGCCCCTTGTGAACATACAGTGTGGTGTGACTGAGGACAGAGGATCTTCCTCAAACCTCCCCTTGTATGGACCTCTTCACACCACCATTAATTGTTGTAATATAGTAGCTGTAGCATACACACGACTCCCTCACACCTGACTCCCTCACACCACCATTACACTGTAATTGTTGTAATATAGTAGCTGTAGCATACACACGACTCCCTCACACCCGACTCCCTCACACCCGACTCCCTCACACCCGACTCCCTCACACCACCATTACACTGTAATTGTTGTAATATAGTAGCTGTAGCATACACACGACTCCCTCACACCCAACTCCCTCACACCCGAGTCCCTCACACCCAACTCCCTCACACCACCATTACACTGTAATTGTTGTAATATAGTAGCTGTAGCATACACACGACTCCCTCACACCGGACTTCCTCACACCCGACTCCCTCACACACGACTCCCTCACACACGACTCCCTCAGACCCGACTCCCTCACACCACCATTACACTGTAATTGTTGTAATATAGTAGCTGTAGCATACACACGACTCCCTCACACCGGACTTCCTCACACCCGACTCCCTCACACCACCATTACACTGTAATTGTTGTAATATAGTAGCTGTAGCATACACACGACTCCCTCACACCCAACTCCCTCACACCCGAGTCCCTCACACCCAACTCCCTCACACCACCATTACACTGTAATTGTTGTAATATAGTAGCTGTAGCATACACACGACTCCCTCACACCGGACTTCCTCACACTCGACTCCCTCACACACGACTCCCTCACACACGACTCCCTCACACCCGACTCCCTCACACCACCATTACACTGTAATTGTTGTAATATAGTAGCTGTAGCATACACACGACTCCCTCACACCGGACTTCCTCACTCCCGACTCCCTCACACACGACTCCCTCACACCCGACTCCCTCACACCCGACTCCCTCACACCACCATTACACTGTAATTGTTGTAATATAGTAGCTGTAGCATACACACGACTCCCTCACACCCGACACCATCACACACGACTCCCTCAGACCCGACTCCCTCAGACCCGACTCCCTCACACCACCATTACACTGTAATTGTTGTAACATAGTACCTGCAGTATACACACGACTCCCTCACACACGACACCCTCACACACAACTCCCTCACACCACCATTACACTGTAATTGTTGTAACATAGTACCTGCAGTATACACACGACTCCCTCACACACGACACCCTCACACACAACTCCCTCACACCACCATTACACTGTAATTGTTGTAACATAGTACCTGCAGTATACACACGACTCCCTCACACACGACACCCTAACACACAACTCCCTCACACACAACTCCCTCACACCACCATTACACTGTAATTGTTGTAATATTGTAGCTGTAGCATACACACGACTCCCTCACACCCGACTCCCTCACACACAACTCCCTCACACCACCATTACACTGTAATTGTTGTAACATAGTACCTGCAGTATACACACGACTCCCTCACACACGACACCCTCACACACAACTCCCTCACACACAACTCCCTCACACCACCATTACACTGTAATTGTTGTAATATTGTAGCTGTAGCATACACACGACTCCCTCACACCCGACTCCCTCACACACAACTCCCTCACACCACCATTACACTGTAATTGTTGTAACATAGTACCTGCAGTATACACATGACTCCCTCACACCCGACTCCCTCACACACAACTCCCTCACACCACCATTACACTGTAATTGTTGTAACATAGTACCTGCAGTATACACATGACTCCCTCACACCCGACTCCCTCACACCCGACTCCCTCACACCCGACTCCCTCACACCCGACTCCCTCACACCACCATTACACTGTAGTTGTTGTAATATAGTACCTGTAGTATAAACACGGCTCCCTCACTTACAACACCCTCACACACAACACCCTCACACACAATACCCTCACACACGACACCCTCACACACGACACCCTCACACATGACTCCCTCACACACGACACCCTCACACACGACACCCTCACACACAACACCCTCACACACAACACCCTCACACACAACACCCTCACACAACTCCCTCACACACAACACCCTCACACACAACACCCTCACACAACTCCCTCACACGAAACACCCTCACACACAACACCCTCACACACGACACCCTCACACACGACACCCTCACACACGACACCCTCACACACGACTCCCTCACACACAACACCCTCACACACAACACCCTCACACACAACATCCACACACACAACACCCTCACACACAACACCCTCACACACAACACCCTCACAAACAACTCCCTCAAACACAACTCCCTCACACACAACACCCTCACACACAACATCCACACACACAACACCCTCACACACAACACCCTTACACACAATACCCTTACACACAACATCCTTACACACAACACCCTCACACACAACACCCTTACACACAATACCTCACACCACACAACATCCTTACACACAACACCCTCACACACAACACCCTTACACACAATACCTCACACCACACAACATCCTTACACACAACACCCTCACACACAACACCTTCACACACAACTCCCTCAAACACAACTCCCTCACACACAACACCCTCACACACAACATCCTTACTCATGACTCTCTCACACATGACTCCCTCACACACAACTCCCTCACACACAACACCCTTACACACAATACCCTCACACACAACATCCTTACTCATGACTCTCTCACACATGACTCCATAACACATAACTCCCTCACACACAACACCCTCACACACAACTCCCTCACACATGACTCCCTCACACATGACTCCCTCACACACGACTCCCTCACACACGACTCCCTCACACACGACTCCCTCACACATGACTCCCTCACACACGACTCCCTCACACACGACTCCCTCACACATGACTCCCTCACACATGACTCCCTCACACACAACTCCCTCACACACAACTCCCTCACACATGACTCCCTCACACACAACTCCCTCACACATGACTCCCTCATACATGACTCCCTCACACATGACTCCATAACACATAACTCCCTCACACACAACACCCTCACACACAACTCCCTCACACATGACTCCCTCACACATGACTCCCTCACACACGACTCCCTCACACATGACTCCCTCACACACAACTCCCTCACACACGACTCCCTCACACAAAACTCCCTCACACACAACTCCCTCACACAAGACTCCCTCACACATGACTCCCTCACACACGACTCCCTCACACACAACTCCCTCACACATGACTCCCTCACACACAACTCCCTAACATATGACTCCCTCACACACAACTCCCTCACACATGACTCACTCACACATGACTCCCTCACACACAACTCACTCACACATGACTCACTCACTCAAAACTCCCTCACACACAACTCCCTCACACACGTCTCCCTCACACACAACTCCCTCACACACAACACCCACCCACACAACTCCCTCACACACGACTCCCTCACACACAACTCCCTCACACACAACACCCACCCACACGACTCCCTCACACACAACACCCTCACACACGACTCCCTCACACACAACACCCTCACACACAACTCCCTCACACACAACTCCCTCACACATGACTCCCTCACACACGACTCCCTCACACACAATACCCTCACACCTGACTCCCTCACACACAACACCCTCACACGACTCCCTCAAACATGACTCTCTCACACACAACACACACAACACCCACCCACACGACTCCCTCACACATGACTCCCTCACACACAACTCCCTCACACACAACTCCCTCACACACAACACCCTCACACACAACTCCCTCACACATGACTCCATCACACCTGACTCCCTCACACACAACACCCTCACACACAACACCCTCACACACAACACCCTCACACAACTCCCTCACACACAACTCCCTCACACACAACTCCCTCACACACAACACCCTCACACACAACACCCTCACACATGACTCCCTCACACACAACTCCCTCACACACAACACCCTCACACACAACTCCCTCACACACGACACCCTCACACACAACTCCCTCACACATACTCCCTCACACATACTCCCTCACACACAACTCCCTAACACACAACTCCCTCAATCCGTGAGGCTGAAAAGCGAATTAAAGTAGAGGCCTGGTACGGCAATATGTTTAATTTTAATTTCATCCACACAATTTGAATATTTAATCCCATTTAATGTCATTTGGTCACAACTATTTTGTTAAATTTCAGACATTCTGATGATCACCTGTTGCTGGCACACCTGTGCATACAATAATGTAACCTAGACACACCGGTCAGGTGTGCTACAGGCGAGGGACTGACAGATACTAAGCAACAAGTGATACTGTCTCTACCTTGTGGAATACAGCCAGTGATAGACACTTCACGGTAACAACAGTGTGATCTGACACTTGTGTTGAAAGGTATTATCAGATTTAGCCAGTTTCCCAGGGATTAGTCAAGAGTGATCAAACAAGTGTTACACTGATCACATTAAATAAAAGATTACCTGTGCTGAACTGATTAACGGTGCTCAGCACCACCTGGAGTTAAAGGAGCAAGGACATGCCTCTACTTCCATCACCATGGATGAAGGTAATAAAATAATACAGTCCAGTTGGGAGAGTGCACATTCTTAATTACAGGTGTGTGTTTCACCTGTCAGGATAATTTCAGGTGTGTGTTACACCTGTCGGATGGTGATAACAGGTGTGCATACCACAACCCCATGTTAATTTAACTGCAATGAATACAGAAACAACACTGAAGTGATGTCAATGGAAATATATCAACTACCCATTGTTATCTGACGGACCCAATTACGAGTTCTGGTCAACTGCCCACTTGAGTGGACACACTGAACGAGGTGCTGTCTGGCCTGTCAGCTGCAGCAAGCATATCACAATAGGTGGGCATTGCTAGGGGTCAGTGGATTCCCATGCAAGCTTGTGTCCTGCAGGTGGGCTGAAAGTCAACAGAAGCTGGACCTACCACACAATGACATGGGCATTAGTGGGGAACAATTTGTAACACACTGTGTTTCCCTCCATTGCTGTGAGTTTACTAGTTCATTCTGAGTGTTATCACCCTGCTATGAGGGGAATGCACCAAGTTATATTCTGACAAGTTCATATTGTGCTCAAGACTGGATGTTAATCACAATTAAACAGTGTGCAGTTTCGTGGCTACTTGACGGATGTCTTCAATTTATTCAATGACAGAAACAAAGCTTTAAATGGTCATCATCCTCCGTGGGTAAATCAGTCAAAATGATCAGTATTACAGATCCCGAGAAATCCAAAATATCCACAAGCATTATCTAGCTACTCCTACACCATGAGAAGCTTCAGTATGAGGAGGGTGAAGACCCTCTTTCTGACAATCTTCTCATTCGGTTTCTGTTTTGTGTTACTGCTCAATGTGATGATACATCAGCTCAACAATTCCGACCGTGACATGGATGTTCATGTCAGCGCAGCAAACCCTTCGGCGTACAGGATGAAGCTGCGGCAACTGTCACAGCAGCACGACAACAACTACATCCATGCTGCAGGGTCACCGTTGGTGGACAGGAAGCCCCAGGCTGCCCAGGACTCAGAGTATGGTCAACGCAAGGGGGTCGTCTTGCCGCGGAAAAGGGAGAGAATGCAGCATGGCATCGTTATTGAAAGTGACAGAATGGCAAAAGATAAACCAGCTGTGTTTAGGAAGGTTGATAAATTTTTGTTCCCAAATCGGAGAAAAGACATCGACGACGACTACTCCTACGAAGAGGACATTGAGAAGGTGGTGATTCAGGATGAGGACGAAGAAGGGGATGAGAAGGACGAGTTTGAGGACGATGACATCGACCCAGACGAAGACTATGATGAGGATGCTGCAGATAGAAACCCTCCAAATGTGTTTGATAATCTGAAGAATTCATCCAAAGAGGTTTTCACAAAACCGCCGTTACACTTCCAGGAGGTCGGTGTGCCTACCGTGACTCAAGCAGTGACAAAGATGTTCCCACACCAAGTGGTGGTGGACGCAATATACTGGTCGCCGCAAGTTGAGCAACTCATTCCAAAAGGTGAGGCTGTTTGAAAGTCATCAACTTATTTTTAGTTGTTTTTATTTATTTTTTATTCAACTAGAAATTTCACAAATGAAGCATAACATTTTAGAGCAAGCACTTTTCTATCCCCTTATTTCAGTTATTAGTAGTGAAAAGGGAAAGTTTTACTCCCAATTCTCCAAAAATAATATTTATTTTATTTCAGTAACCTTTTCCATGTCAGCCCGCAAGAGCAATTAGTGTTCAAATTGAAAGGGTTCTGAGGTGGTTGATGTTTGCTTTTGTAGTTTTTGAATCTTGGGATTCACTCATATCTAAGGTTCACATATGGGTTTTTCCAAGGGTCAACCCCTGGCCTTTCATGCTTATTGTTCCAGTTTTACACTGTCACATGTCAATTCTCAAATTGAAACAATAAGTTCCCCAGAAATGGGTACATAAAAGAACTCAAACCAACAAATGGTATGCAATCAACAATTGTACTACAAAATTAACTAGGTTTACAAATAAATCCAAATTACTGCACAGCAATTACAATGGCAGTACACAATAGAGTGGTGGTACAATATTCAATGACAGTACACAATAGAGTGGTGGTACAATATTCACTGGCAGTATGTAATATGATAGTAGTTGTCAGTTCCAAATACAAAAAACAATGGGAATGGCAAAAGTCGGTGATCATGATATATTCACCCAGCAGTGGCAGTGGTCAAGCCCCCGAGATACAAGACAAAAGTTGGTCTTGATGTAATTTGAGATGAAATTTTGGATGAGACAGGGTTGTGCTGAATGATAAGTCCAAGGCTGCACTGAATGATGTCTAGTCCATGGATGTACAGTAATTCTATCCTTACACAGGTAATAGCCAAGTGTAGATAAGTGGACAGGACGCCAGTCTTAAACAGGGACATAATAGAGGAATTAAGGTTGAAACTAATACTCATTTCATCAGAGACCTGTGCAAGCTTAGGCACAATTAAAGGGCTAAATGTGGAAACAACATTTCCTCTTTGACATTCAAAGACAATATATCAAGCTTAAAAACCAATTAGTCAGGAATTCAGATCTTCCATAATTAAGAATACATTGCAAGCAGTTACATCCTCGTTAGTGCTGGGTTAATTAGTGAGGGAATGGATGCTTAATGTCTCTCCAAGATTCAGAGTATCAAAAGTTAAGTATAAAATAATTATTCCAGTCAGTTATTTATCAATAAATTCTTTTTAAAAACATGTAACGCAGACACTTGCATTTGTCTAACCAGTCAAGTTATAAATAATCTCTGCAGATTTATGCTGCCAAACATGGTCACTAATTCAACTACGCTACTCAACTTCACGTGACCTGTGACCTGTGACCTGTGTGAGTGAGTGAGTGAGTTTGATTTTACGCCGCTTTTAGCAGTATTCCAGCAATATCACGGCGGGGGTCACCAGATATGGGCTTCACACATTGTACCCATGTCAGGAATCGAACCCGGGTCTTCGGCGTGACGAGCGAACGCTTTAACCACTAGGATACCAGACCGCCCCTAGTGACCTGTGTGCTGTGCACAGGACAATGTGACTCCATAGTGTACACATGTTCTTGAAACACATGGCCAAGTTGGATAATGTCGGCATGATACAGTCATGTTGTATTGGGCAAGTAGACGAGGTAGCTAAGATTGGTGAAAGCTAATCCACATGTGACAAGACTTAATATCTGCATGTCTTTTAGAACGGAAACCCGGCATGTTTTTTCAATACACCTCCGTTGACAGATTCAGTGATCCATTTACAACATACTGGCTATTTGAAAGAATGTATACTGTCGGGGTCAGACAATGGTCTAAAGTCAAACGGCATACCATATTTCTGCCCACCTCTGGGACAGACAGCCCTTCAATTTACCAGTCAATGTCACATTTGGCCTGTCAATGGTCATCCATCCCCAAATCCCCGTTATGAATAGGTCTTCAGCGACCCATGATTGACTAAAAAGGCGATTATGTTTGTCGTAAGAGGCATCGGGTGGTCAGGCTCGCTGACTTGGTTGATGCATGTCATCGTATCTCAATTGCGTGGATCAATGCTCATAATGTCAATCACTGGATTGTCTCGTCCAGACTTGTCTATTTACAGACCGCTGTCATATAGCTGGAATATTGCTGAACGCATGGTTAAACAAGTAAAAAAAATATATCCCAAAGTAAAGAAAAGCTCCTTATCATATGTGTGCAAACACTGAAATGTACTATCGTCATAACGAACAGTTTGGACCTGTGAAGATTCCGGGGTAGAATAGGTCTTCAGCAACCCATGCTTGCCGTAAAAGGTGACTGCTTGTCGTAAAATGCGACTAACGGAATCGGGTGGTTAGCCTCACTGACTTGGTTGATGCATGTCATCAATCCCAATTGCGTGGATCGATGCTCATGATATTAATCACTGGATTGTCTGGTCCAGACTCGATTATTTACAGACCGCCGTCATATAGCTGGAATATTGCTGAGTGCGGCGTTAAACAACAAACAAACAAAAACAAAACAAACAGTTTGCACACTTGTGCCATGTGCTAGAAGAACAAAATGAAGTTGTTTTGTGAAGTATACCACCCTGATTAACGGGATCTGCTGTATGTTACAATGACTGCTATATTCCCGTTAGGACAAAATTGCAACTGAAATAACCAATATGTCACTATCAGCCTGATTTCTTCCGCCGATGCAGTGCCTACTATTGACACTCTTGACGCTACATTCCAGATAATACAATCTGCTTTGTTGCCATGGTAACATGACAATGGACCCAAAACTCAGGTAATTTGATGATAACCTCAGGCATAAAGGAGACTCCAATGTATCGACCTGTACAGTTATGATAGGTTACATCCAGAACTGACTGTTTAGCTAATTAGCTAATCAGGCAGCTTCATACTCAGCAGGACCACCACCATATGGTCTTGTGGTAAAGCGTCCGCCCGGAGAGCGGAAGGTCCGGGGTTCGATCCCCAGCCGCGTAATACCAAAAGATGTTAAAAGATGGTACTTGTTGTTATCCTGTCTGGCACTCAGCATTAACAAGGACTGGTCGGCTCGGAGTCAGTATACTGTGTCTGAGTGGGGTATTCATGTTAAACTGCGGCATGGTATCTCAGTGGGCTAGCACTATAAATCGGACACGGACACACAGACACAGACACAGACACAGACACAGAAACGGACACACACTCACACACACACACACACACACACACACACACACACACACACACACACACACACACACACACACACACACACACACATACACGCAAGCTATATAAGTGCAATAATCTTGGACGCGACGTTAAACCCCATTTCACCTCGCCTCACTCAACAGCTATCAGTAACTGTGACGGACGAAAACACACATAGAATACACCCGTGATGATTCCAGGAAACAACATAGGTCCCCAGCAGGATATGCGTGTTGTAACAGGTGGCTAAATGTGGTCAGACTCCGTGACGAGCAATCAGTCCACCTGATCCCGTTAGTCGCCCTCTTATGACACCATATTCGAAATTCTTTGTATCAGTGCCAATGTCATGGTTAGAATCATAATGGGACTAGTCATTTAATTTTTTCTTCTTTTTTTCTTCTTTCACCTGATGAAGGAGTAAGTATATACTCTAAAACATTGTGTTCCTCATAATAAAGAAGTTGACATCCTTAAATTCTGTTCCTCAAGTGTATCATTTCTAAATGCCTTTCAAAGACTTGTCATTTATTGTTGTTGGGGGGGGGGGGGGGGAAATTGGCCTCAGGACAGTATGAGGTTACCCCCTCCCTATTTTATATAACCTTTTGTCATGCCCCTCCTTCCCCCATTCCCCCATCCTCCCCCAAAATACATGTGTCATATTTCATGACAAACACACCGTATAATAAATTACCACTTTCCAAAATTAAGTTCAAATTTGGTACTTCTTTGTTGGAATTATGTGTAATTGTTTCATTCCCCCCCCCCAACTATGGTAGTGACACATTTTGGCAAACCCCACCCACAACACCCCCCTCCTCTTTCACTGTCCTGTCTTCATGACCCCACCCTATAATAAATGGCCAGTCCTAATGACGGGGTTAGAATACGTTCCCAGTGTCTGAGAGATAATAGTTATTAGCAAAATGTAAGGCAGACAATCCCCAAAGTATCACCCAAGTCTTAACCACCTCAAGGGATGACACACCGTGGAATAATCTACTTCCTGAAAGTCCACTCTAAATCTTCATTTAGAGTCTTAGATAACAAATATATATTCATGATCCATTGTTTGTGTCGTTTCCATGTCAACAGCTATAGGGATATACTTGAAAGTGAAATAGTAGAAATAAAAAACAACTCCGCTTCCCAGTCTTTCGCTTGAGACCCAGAAATTCTTATTCCATTTTAAACTGGTTATCAAGACAACTCTTTGCACTTTATTTTATTCATCTTACATTGAAAAAACAGTTTTTAACAAACTAACTTTCCCTTCAGACCCAGAAATTCTAATTCAATTTTAAACTAGTTATCAAGACAACTCTTTGCACTTTATTTTATTCATCTTACATTGAAAAAACAGTTTTTAACAAACTACCTTTCACTTCAGACCCAGAAATTCATATTACATTTGTAACTAGTTATCAAGACAACTCATTAAACTTAATTTTATTCATATTATATAAAAAATAAATATTTTTAACAACCTACCAACTAATATTTTTTAGAGTACTACCTGACACATTTTAATATTTATATTTCCCTTAATAGCCCAAAAGAATAGAAAATGGCAATCCCATCACAAATGATGTAATACGATTTGGAATAATCTGGAAACAAAGTGTTCTGGAAGCAACAAAACCCTCAAACGGCCCTCTGGGACCAACCGCAGTGTTGTCTGCAACGACTCAATTAACGATTACAACACCATGACAGTCTCCCTTCCTGCCACATCAACAGGTGATCTATTATTGATGATATGGCATCAGATACAGATATCTCCCTGTGGT